AAATTCCTGACATAATCATACCGCCAGGGAGGTTAAAAGAAGAGTTCACCTTTTACAAAATAAAAATAATAAATGGACATCTTTTTGCATGTAAAAAAATGTGCAATTATTATTTTTTTTACACTGGAGCCTGTAAAGCATTGTACCTGATATCAGCCATTCATGGGTGCAATGCCAGGTTCCTACAGTCTCTCAGTACACTATCTGCCTATACCTTCCATATTAGCAGGCAGTTACTGAATTGCAGGAAGAATCAATGAATTATGAGAGCGCTCACCAGTGCCCTTGAAGTTAATTGAGAACTACAAGCCATCAGCCTCAGTCACCGATGGTACTTATAGTGCATCGGCATAGTCCCGTAAGGCCAAGCTGTTTGCAAATTGTGACAGCAGGTGCAGGGAGAAGAATCCTTGCCTGCCATCACAGGAACTGGAACATGTTCAACCTTAAATACAGATTTCAAAGGTGAAATTAAAGTGTTATTAAACCCGGGACCCTGCATTCACTATATCTGGTCTCCCACAGTACACACAACAAGGAAATGCAATTATGTTAGTAAATATAAACTGCTAAATATCTTTTCTCAGTATATAGCAGTCTTGTGAATTCTATAAGTGTCCAGCCGAGCACATGTTAAAGCTTGTAGGAGGAGTTTTCATTTTGCTCTAGGAGGATGCAGGACCCCTGACCTCTGTCTGGACAGTGCTTATTGGCCCTGTGCTGATCACATGCACTCTCCCAAGAAAAAAAAAAAACATCTCTAGCAATACGCACCAAACTGAGCATATGCAGAGTGACTCCACACAATATGTCTTATCAGGAGATAAAAGGGGGCACTGAAAGAAGGGGAGGATCAGAGGATCAGAGAAGTCAGGATTAAACAGCATTTTACACAATGCAGAGGATTAACCCCTTAGATTCCACAGTGAGCATAACAAGCATGCTTTACTGCATATACAGACTGATTTTACTGTTGTAGATTTAATAACACTTTAACCTTTAAACACAGCTTAGATCAGTGAGAACACTATGAAGTCATGTGACCCAATCCAGTTTCATGATTCCAGTACTGGAACTGCTTAGGCAAAGTAAGAAATTTGCAAAAGGATCAGTACATAAACAATTATGTAAATTATATCCCAGCACAACCTTTTGTGGTCCAGATAATCCTTGCACTCCCTGTGTAAACTATATGCAGCACCTAACATATTTAAAGATTCTTGGAATGCATAGAGAGGGACTCTTTCCATATTTTAATTTGCACACTCTCTCTAATTGTATATTTAGTGCAAATGGGTAAAAGTGATTGTCTATCCAAAATTAATTTTGTAATGGACAATTTGCATTCCTTGGGGTGATAACTGTCCTGTATGTGTTGTTGATAGAACTTTTGAGGGTGTGCAAGAGAGCACCTGAATGGGAACTGGACTACTTGACCACTATAAAGATCCACGTGTCTACTGGAACATGACTTTGATTATATACTGTAAAAGGATTATATTATGCTTGCATGTCATACTTACCTGCCCTGTGCTATGGCTTTTCACAATGCAGCCCCGATCCTCCTCTTCTCGGGTCCACCACCAGAGCTCCTGATCCCTCCACCCTGCTGAGTGCCCCAGAGCACGCTGCTTGCTCTGGGGGCATTTGTGCATGTGTCTATGAGAGATACAAAAAGTGGCTCGGCTCCGCCCCCAATCCCTCCTCACTGGCTGTGATTAACAGCAGCAGAAGCCAATCGCTCTCACTTATGTGTCTTAGCCAATGAGGAGGCAGCGACCCAGTAGAGCTTCTGTTTTTGTGCACATCGCTGGATCAGGCTCAGGGGAGTATAAGAGGTAAAGGTTAAAATCCTTCAGTCTTTATAACCATTTAAATTAATATATTCCCTAAAGGAAGGACACTATAAAAGCTACAATACACATTTTTGTCTAGTTGATCATTTTTATTTTCATTTAATTGTTCCTATCATGCTCTGATAGGAAAGTAAACATTTAGCCTGCCAATGAACATATGGACTATATGAACAAATGGATTATATGTGCTTAAATCTTGCAAAAATGGTGTGCCCTGTTTCCAAGGCATGCAAGGCCTTCAGCTGTACTGAATTTCCACAGCAGCCCAGTGCAGAGTTCCATGTTCACTGAAATCTTCAATCCTTTGCCCCATGATACCCCCAGAACAGGACAGCTTTCATTCATTGTATGTACTATCCTTGGTGCTTTAACTTTACCTAACATTATACAGTTGAACAGCAATTGGTATTTCCATGGTACAGGCACAGGTTTGCTTTAAACAGGTATATAAATGAAGGTTGGCAGTGTTTACTCTGATTGCCTGGCTGTCTCTGACTTCATACACTGACTGGGAACAGGCATTTATCACTTTTAAAATGCAAAATTTCTTCAGACCTGTAACTGAAAATACACAGAAGCCATTAGATCAGCATAACAGCCATGGGTCCAGTATGTTAAAAAAAAGTTATCAATGGCAGCCACTTTCTCAAATTAATATAATCTTTTGGCCAGTATGGTTACCATTATGTTCTATTCTTTTTGATTTTTTAGCAATTTCATGTACAGTATTTAAAGCAATGTCTACTTTTAATCATTTTTGAGTCATATGATCTCAGTGACTTGTTTCAAAATGATAGTACAACAATTTATTTTTTTCTCTATTCTAATTTCTACAAACAAGCTTTTTGCCATGTGTGGTAGTTAAATAAAATACAAGGCTATCAGACAGTTTGCAAAAGACATACATGGGAATATTGATTGAATGAAGAATTATTAAATATAGTAAATTTGATCATAATTTTTACTTTTCTGATTCCATGAACCCCTAAATTTATTCCTTTGGTCATTGCAAATGTTAGACTGCTTTATATGTATTTAAAATGGAAAACTTGTATTATTACATGAGAAATATAATATTACAAAAAACTCTTGTTCAGCATATACCTCAAACACCAATGTGAATTACTTGCTCAGGCACACTAATCAAGCATCAAGAGTCCCTGGGATTTATTTAGAAATGTTGGCACTAAGCTTTTTGTGGTATTTTTATCCTTGAAACATAGCAAATCATTCTACAATGCCTCTTCTAAAACTAGTACCATACCAGTAGCATGATATGGCTATAATTTAGCACTGCTGTGGTAATATAATATCACTCTAGCTTTAGTTCAAGCTCTTGCTATCTCTTGCTGCTGCCTCTGATAATGTAGCACTAATTCTGGTCTTGGTAACATGACATGTTAAATGATGCAATGGCATGAAATGGAATAAAACAGACAAACAGATAGATAGATAGATAGATAGATAGATAGATAGATAGATAGATAGATAGATAGACAGTTATGCAACCAATATGTGTAGCAGATAATATCTGCATGCTATTTTTATACAAGGATAAATAATAGTCTACACCAGGGTATTTTTTAATAAATGTCTTCAAAAGTATTTGTTTTATAGAGTAGTGCATTTGTGTCTTTGCAAATAACAAACAATTGCAGAAAACATATACCCATAAGAGCAGGAGCAGCAGTGCAATTTTATAGCCACTATTTCTTATTTTTCTTTGTTGACATTTTGTTCCTTCCTGAAGATTTTTGGCACCAATCATCATTTGTGTAGTTGAACTCTCATGCCTTTATATAAGTGTTGGCAGATAGTGTTTTGCAGAATTTATTAGAGAGCGGTAGAATGTATTTCGCAGCTATCAAGAGACTTTTTTTAATGAAAGAAAAAGTTTTAGTATCTCTCTGGTTGCTTGGAAAACTCCATGTTTGCAAGCTTTAAAATCATAGACTACAAAAAAACAACACTTGAAATCTAGAAAGCAAGCAATGCAGACTAAACCACAAACCAAAGTGTGATAATATAAAACCTCCCAAATAATATGCATACATACCTGCATAGCCTATGGGTGATAGATGAAACTTGTTGTTCTATGCTTTATCACATATTATAAAACGTTTATGTTTCATAATATAAAATGTTATATTATTCGTATAATTTTGTTTTTGCAATTTAATGTTGCTTTAGATCTTTCTATCTATCAAACCTGCAAGATTGCATAATGCTAATGTGACAGGAATATAAATGCAAATAGTGAAAATTGTAATAGGCTGCTAACTTCTGTTAAGACTAAGTACAAAAAAAGGAACATACAGTATGTAGATTAAACGTCAGCTTTAAGGATTCAGATTGGGGGAGAGTTAATTTGATGACCAAAATTACTATTATATTTTAGTCCTACTGTAAAATGTGTCTTTTGGTCTTCTGAAATGCTGTGGACACAAGAAGGCAGATGAATGGCCTACATAAAATTTTAAAATGTTTCTTTCCATTTTAACCGTGGTCTTTGGGATAAAGTAATATTTTGTAATTTCTTGAAATATCTATGAATATTCTAGGAAATTTACCCAAAAGCAGTTTCACTTCAGTAAAGCTGCAAGCTAGAAAACCAATAAAGCAAGCTAATCATGCTGATGTTTGAATGTCCTGATTTTACTTTCCAGCTACAATCAAACATTTGAAGCTTTTGAGTTCAAAAGAGAATTACCTAAAATGAGGCATTTAAAGTTAATCTGTGCTTTCAGAAATATAGTGCAGCCAAGGGGCCACATTTAGGATTAAACAAAAAAAAACTGAGTTATATAGTAAACTGCCAAATAGCTGTTCTAAAAATGTAATTATCTGACCACAGATGAGTTAGAAGCTGACAAATTGTTTTTTATAAAATGTACTGTACTTCACTGTAATGTTCAGAATGCAGGAGTCAACAGTGCATAATGCTCAGAGGTTAAGAGCAAGTAATGCATGTTGTGCAGTGGTCAGGAGTGCACAATGCAGAAAATACAGAGGTCAGGAGTAAGTGCGCACAGAATACAAAGGTCAGTAGTACACTATATTGCCAAAAGTATTGGGACACCCCTCCAAATCATTGGATTAAGGTTTCAATCACCTCCGTGGCCACAGGTGTATAAAATCAAGCACCTAGGCATGCAGACTGCTTCTAAAAACATTTTTGAAAGAATGGGTTGCTCTTAGGTGCTCAGTGAATTCAAGTGTGGTACCATGATAGATTGCTACCTGTGCAATAAGTCCATCTGTGAAATTTCCTTGCTACTAAATATTCCACGGTCAACTGTTAGCGGGGTCAGCGCACGCTAAAATACACCATGTGCAGAAGTTGCCAACTGTCTGCAAAGTCAATAGCTAAAGACCTCCAAACTTCAGATTAGCACAACAACATTGCGCAGAGAGCTTCAAGGAATGGGTTTCCAAGGCCGAGTAGCTGCATTCAAGCCTTACATCGCCAAGTACAATGCAAAGCATTAGAGACATGTTCTCTGGAGTGATCACCCTTCTCTGTCTAGCAATGACCAATGGATGTGTCTGGGTTTGGCAGTTGCCAGGAGAATGGTACTTGCCTGATTGCATTGTGCCAAGTTTAAAGTTTGGAGGAGAGGGGATTATGGTGTGGGGTTGTTTTTCGGAAATTGAGCTTGGCCCCTCAGTTCCAGTGAAAGGAACTCTTAAGGCATCAACATACAAAGACATTTTGGAAAATTTCATGCTCCCAACTTTGTGGGAACAGTTTGGGAATGGCCCCTTCCTGTACCAACATAACTACACACACATGCACAAAGCAAGGTCCATAAAGCCATGAATGAGCGAGTTTGGGGTGGATGAACTTGACTGGCCTGGTCCTGACCTCAACCCAATAGAACACCTTTGTGATGAATTAGAGCGGAGACTGCGAGACAGGCCTTCTTGTCCGACACCTGTGCCTGACCTCACAAATGCGCTTGTGGAAGAGTGGTCAAACATTTCCATAGACACACTCCTAAACCTTGCGGACAGCCTTCCCAGAAGAGTTGAAGCTATTATAGCTGCAAAGGGTGGGCCAACTCAATATTGAACCCTATGAACTAAGACAGGGATGTCATTAAAGTTCATGTGCGTGTAAAAGCAGGCGTCCCAATACTTTTGGCATTTTAGTGTAAGTAAGAGATTGAGTGCAGAGGTCAAGAGTAAGTAAAGGAGAGTGCAGATGCTTCGGTGGTATGGATTTTATGGAGGGGAGGAATCTAAAAAAAAAGTGTGAGATCCCCCCTAAAAAATTAATTCCAGACCCTTATCCATACCAAACTTAAAAATCCATACCAAACTCTCAAATGACAATATGTTATGCTAAATGTCAATGTATTATGTTATGATAAAAATAGCCCCCCAAAAAGTTAAAAATTAAAAAAAAATATGTTATTTACCTGGTGTTTCACTTATCTTGGATGTATTTCGTTATTTAAGGATTTTTACAATGTGACATTTTTAAACCATTAGAAAAAAACAGTTACATGTGTTTCCCCTAAACATTTTAATCAGATAACTCAAGCATGTACTCATTATTTGGAAAAGAGAAGTGTATATAGCAACATTACCATTCTCTAACAATGTTTATTACTTGTGTTACTGTTAGTTTCTATTTTCAGGAAAAGAACATTTTTTATCTCTAATTGTTTTCTTACGTTTCTATTTACTAGATGTTTAAATTTTTTTTAAAAAGCTCAAGCAATAAACTACACAGAAAAGTAGAAAACACAAGGGAACGGATGTAGACGTGTTTGAAATGATAAAGTTAGTCATTTTTATGCTTTTTTAATCACATCATGTATCTAATCAGTATTATCATGATTATTATAATTACAATAATAACATAAACTAAATAACCACCAAAAAAAACCAATCAAATAGAAAATGATTACTTTAGTGTTTTCTCTTAGTTTTGGTATTTTTTTTGGTTTTGACTTTTTTTTTCTTTTTTTGTATACAGTAGGAACATTCATCCACAATTTTAAAAAGATGAATATTGCATCATAACCTTTTAAAATGGGATAGTGATACACGACTAAAACAAAAAAAAGGAAAACCTGTTCCAGTGATTAGTGCAATACTACTAGGAATTATGGAACCTTACCAATTAGATTAGTATATTATACAACCCCTGGCAAAAAGTATGGAATCACCACTTTTGGAAAATGTTCATTCCTTTATTTATTTGTGTAGAAAAAAAAACGAATCACAGACATGCTTCAAAACTATTTTCATTTAACCACTTGAGCTCCTGAGGATTTACCCCCCTTAATGACCAGGCCTCTTTTTGCTACTTGGCACTGCACTAATTCAACTGATAATTGCGCGGTCATGCAATGTTGCACACAAACGAAATTTACGTCCTTTTTTTCACACAAATAGAGCTTTCTTTTGGTGTAATTTGATCACCTGTGCGCTTTTTATTTTTCACGCTATAAACAAAAAAACGGCAAAAATTTTGAAGAAAAACAATATTTTTTATTTTCAGCTATAAAAAATATATAGTAAACTCAAAGTTGGTTATAAATTTAGGCCAAAATGTATTCTGCTACATGTTTTTGGTAAAAAAAATCCCAATAAGTGTATATTGATTGCTTTGTGTGGAAGTTATAGCGTCTACAAACTATGGTATAAATACTGCAATTTACGCCATTTTTCTGCTATACAGCGCTGCGCTAGTTTAACGGACAATTGCGCGGTCATGCAATATGGTACATAAATGAAATTTACAGCTTTTTTTCCCCCACAAATTGAGCTTTCTTTCGGTAGTATTTGATCGCCTCTACGGTTTTTATTTTTTTTGCACTATAAAAAAAAAAGGCTGACAATTTTGAGGAAAAAAAAACAATATTTTGGACTTTTTGCTATAAAACATGTCCAGTAAAAAAAAAAAAAATGCAAAAATCAAATTTAGTCATAAATTTCTGCCAAAATGCATTCTGCGACATGTCTTTGCTAAAAAAAAAACCAATACGTGTAAATGAATTGGTTTACGTGAAAGTTATAGCGTTTACAAATGGCGGGAAAGATACTGGGATTGTTAGGGTTTTTTTTATACTAATAATGGCGGCGATCAGCGAATTATGGCGGCGATCAGGGACTTATGACAGCGACCAGCGATTTATGGCGGGACTGCGGCGGACATTCTGACATTGGGGGGTACTGACTTGGGGTCACTGACATCCCCAAAAACACTAATACAGTGATCAGTGCAAAAAAAAAAAAAAAACTGACACTGTACTAATGGCAATGGGGAGGAAGGGGTTAACTTTATTTAGCAGGGAAGGGTTATAGGAGTGAGGGGAGTGTTTTACTAGGGGGCGGGGGTGTGTACTGGGCGGGACAAGGCTGATCGAGAAAGTGAAACTATTCTTTCTCGATCAGCTCATCCTCGAGCTGACAGAGAGGTGACAGACAGCACAGCTACTGCAGCTGTGCTCTCTGTCACCATTTACCGCCGATCGCCGGGACATAGCCGCTAATGAGCGGCTGTGACCCGGCAACTGACATCTGCGGCGGTGATCCACAGGCCAAATAGGGCGGCAGCGCGCCTCGCGTGCGCCCCCTATTTGTTTACAAAACGCACGTTTTAAAACGTGGTTTTGCCTGTGAGTGCCGCCCTGCCACCGTATATGTACAGTGGCTGGGCGGCATGCGGTTAACATTTCAACCTTCTGGCTTTAAGAAACACTTAAAAAAATAAGAAAGAATGAAAACTGTAGTCAACTGTTTTTGCAGATCAAGCAGAGGAAAAATCACTCAATTCTAAAGAAAATATTATGGAATCATGAAAAAAAAGCACTACAGTACACCACTAGTACTTTGTTGCACCACCTCTGGCTTTTATAACAGCTTGAATTCTCTGAGGCATGGATTTAACTATCGACAAACAGTATTCTTGATCAATACGGCCCCAACTTTCTCTTATTGCAGTTGCTAGATTTCCATTGGATTGAGGTTAGGACTATTTGCAGGCCATGCCATTGACATTATGGGGTTTATTTACTAAAGCTGGAGAGTCCAAAATCAGACTCCCTTCTGCATAGAAACCAGTCAGCTTCTAACCTCAGCTTGTTCAATGAAGCTTTGGCAATGAAACCTGGAAGCTGATTGGTTTCTATGCAGTAGTGAGTCTGATTTTGCACTCTCCAGCTTTAGTAAATAAACCCCTATATGTCTTTCTTGAAGGAAAGTTTTCATGGCTTTGCCCTATGGGAAGATGCATTATCATCCTGAAAAATTATGTCATCATCACCAAACATCCTTTCAAATGATGGAATAAGAAAAGTGTCCACAATCTCACTATAAATTTGTGCATTTATTGAAGATTTAATGACTGTCATCTCCCCGTACCTTTGACATGCAACCCCATATCATCAATGATTGTGGAAATTTGCATATTTTCTTCAGGCAGTCGTCTTTATACATTTCATTGGAACGGCACCAAACAAGAGTTCCAGCATCATCACCCTGCCCAATGTAGATTAGTGATTCATCACTGAATATCGCTTTCATCCAGTCATCCACAGTTCTTGATTGCTTTTCTTTATCCCACTGTAACCTTGTTTTTTCTGCTTAGGTGTTAATGTTGGTTTTTGTTTTGCTTTTCATTATGTAAATCCCATTTCCTTTAGGCGATGTCTGACAGTTCGGTCACAGACACTGAGTCCTGTTTCTGCCCATTTGGCCCCCATTTGTTTTGTTATGTATTTTCTGTTTTTAAGGCATGTTGCTTTAAGTTTTCTATCTTGATGCTTTAACGTCTTCCTTGGTCTACCAGTACTCTTCCCTTTTACAACCTTCCCATTTGATTTGTACTTGGTCTAGATTTTAGTCACAGCTGACTGGGAACAACCAAGATCTTTTGCAACATTCTGTGATGATTTACCTTCTTGAAGAAGTTTTATAATCCTCTCCTTTGTTTCAACTGACATATCTTGTGTTGGGGCCATGATTCATGTCAATCAGCTTGGTACAACAGCTCACCAAGGTGTGCAAGCACTCTTTTTTAACTGCAGACTAATTAGCAGATGTAATCTTATACAGATGTTTGTTTTAGAACTGCAAAGTACATGGTGATTCCATAATATTTTCCTCAGAATTGAGTGATTCCATATTTTTTTCCTCTGCTTGATCTGCAGAAACAGTTGCAATTGACTACAGTTTTATTTCTTTTTAATTTTTTAAGTCTTTCTTAAAGCCAGAAGGTTGGAATGTTAAATAAAATTGTTTGGAGGCATGTCTGTGATTGTGTTTTTTTTCTACACGGTTAAACAATTGAATGAACATTTTCCAAGAGTGGTGATTCCACACTTTTTGACAGGGGTTGTATAAACAAAAGAGTAATATACTAATATAATTGGTAAGGTTCCATAATTCCTAGTAGTATTACACAAATCACTGAAAAAAGTTTTCCTTTTTTTAGTTGGTTTTAGCTAAATCAATAACTATTTCCAGGAACCATTCCAAGGATCTGCTTTGCAAAAAAAGTAAAATAAAGATGTGATTTGATGCTAAAAGCAAGTTTAAAACATTAAAGACCTAAACTTTACAAAATAATGCAAGTCTATGGGACTTGAACTTGTATATTTAAAAGTGCCCAGTTTGAAGGCTTATATGTAACTTATTGGCCAAAAAGGGGTATGGGAACTCGGGTACTGCCCTGAGGGACATGAATCGGTGAAAAAAAAATTCTAAATGTTTTTAGAGGGGCAGTCATTTTTCATTGCTTATAGTAAAAAAAAAAAGGAAAAATCCTTTAAATATCATGCCTGGGGGTTCCCCTTAAACTACCATCAAAGTTGCACATCTGTGCAATGTATAGCACCTGCTGCAGCAGGACTGCATTTTTTAAAAAATATGACATTTTTATTGAAAAAATCCATACCAGACCATTTAGTTCTGTTGAAAGGTTAGGAGGGACTCCACAGTAAGACATTTTTTTAAAAAAGTGTGTGGGGTTCCCCCTAAATGCCATACCAGGCCCTTTAGGCCTTTTAAGGGGAACCACACATCCGTTGATTGCAAAGTACCTCTAGGCACATTTGTCTATATTGACCATTATGCATGATCACTATATTTCCATCTTTGTCTGAAAATTTTATTGTGAGATCATGACAGTTGAAAAGTTTGTTTAGGGCCTCTTTTTCCTTTTTGGTAAGGTTGTTTGATGAATGCGTAATTCTTAGTTTATCTATTTCTTTCACAGTTAGGGTTAGGATTGCTGAATTATTGGGATTAGTAGGGGGTGAAGAGAAGTTGTCTATCTCTTTCTTAAGGTTAGAGACTTGGAGTAGGGGGTCCCTAATAGTTATTTGTTGTTCCTAGAGGGACTCAATGTCCACCTGGTCAATTAGATTGGTCGGTTGTTCTTCCTCAAGCAATGCAATTAGATTCTCATGGGCTTCATCTTGTTGCTTCTGTACAGGCTGTTGTTTTGCCCGATGTTTGAAAAAAGTACTTCTCAATAATAACTTACGAACAACTAATTGCAAATCTTTGAGGTTTTCAAATTTGCTAAAATTTTGATCCGGACAGAAGCTGAAGCCCTTGTTAAGCAATTGAATTTCCTCAGGGGAAAGTGTATAGTCGGATAGTTTGATAATACTAAAATTTGTTGTTGTTCATAGTGTCTAAAAAAGGTTCCTTTGATGGTTGTGTACTGGGGACAGAAGATCCTGTGTGACAGTAAGAAGAAGTTTCAGAAAGAGACGAACCGAACCCGGAGAGTCCAGAAAGACCATTAGAAGAATCATCACATGAGTTACCTGTACTATGAGTGGAAAGTGACCCCGTATACTTATTCTCAGAGGTGTAAGGAGATAAAGGATCAAGTGTGCATTTTTTGACTTGAGTATTGTGTCCTTCACCCGGTGAGTGACATTTGATTTTGCATGATCCTTGATACTTGATGATAAAGAATAATTAAGTGAGGAAACAGAGCCTCTATTCCTCTGTTTTGCCCTCTAATATTTTTGTTGTTGTTGTTGTTCGTTAAGCTCCATCTATGTGCCCTCCCCTCTTGGAAATTCCAACTTATCTTTCAAGACTTTTTTCTTTTACTTCTAAAGTCTCTCTAACAAACAGATCTAGACTTAATTTGGTCTGGATTTCATGGTCCAAAAACTGAGATGATTTGAAGGGTGTAAGTTTGATGTTGATATTATCTATTTCTCTGTCCAATAGAGACACACTTTTTTGTATTGTTTTATGAACATATTCATCATACTTTGGGTACATAGTTGTAGGTTTTTTTCCCATTTATTTTTTAAAATTATCATCTAGTTCATCGAGAGTGGGGATGTAGACCCATAGGGTTTACCTCTTCCTTAATGTATTTCTCAAAACTCTGGATGTGCCTGAAATATATGCTGCCTTTTTCTTTACCATCTTATTCAACTGAAAGAACAGAGAGGATAATTCTAAATCTAATGATTCTTTTTTACCATAATCTTTGTAGTACTTTGACATCAGATTATCCCACTCTGTGCCTTGAAAAATAGACATGATGAGCAATAATACAAAAAATCTTAGAACTTAACACAAACCAAAATTATCACTATTAAAAAACATGCACTAATACACAGAGTTCCGATGATAGAAAAAAAAAATGGAAAAAAAAAAAAAATGGGTATTTGCTACCTATAAACTAATAATTTGGGGGATCCCCATCCAATTTCTCCAGATTGTTGCCTACATCCCATGTCTCTTTAGCAAAAAGTGGAGCCCCCCAATGAAAGGAAGGGACTTTAACAGCAACTTTAAAAAGGAAGTACTGGGGTAAAATATAACAAAACTACTGGCATTAATAAAAAGCAGAGCAATATAGTGCTATGGCTACATTGTTACAAAAAAACAAGGTAATAGGCTCAATAGCTGTGAGGTTTCCTACTGGAATATCATCAGTAGAAATTCCAATACATTTCAGATCACTCTCTCTTTCATCAGAGTTAAATTGTGGAGGAAGTTTGGAATATTCTATAATAAAATATATCATGGTAAGTACAAACAATCTCGACAAATTCATACAGACAAAGCATCATATCTAGAAGATACAAAACCATCCTACTTATGTACATTTGGGTCAAATGTAGCCTTGTATAATTAAGAATTCCTCTGTCATCACCTGTTGGTACCCACAGGGGCCACCTTGGATCCTGAGCACCTGGCCCAAAAATCCTTACACTGTGACTGGAGGCGGCTGTCCGTAATGGCAATAAATCAGTCGATATTTCCAAGCTATCTGTAAATTTACAGACAATTAGCAACTCTGCTTCTTTTGTCTGTGACTCCAGTAACATATAGAGCATTTTGTCACAGTGTAAATGGACTGACAGCTATTTGTGGGTCTTACTAGATCATTGTTTCTCTTTTTCAGCCAAGGCACCCTTTAAAACTATGCACGATCATGAGGCACCCCATTCTAACATGTAAGAATATTTGCACGCTGTTAGTGACTGGTATTCTAGATTTTTCTCTTCTCCCACAGTTGTTATTCCTCATCTAGCTAATGTGACCACTGTGCTGATGGAGAGGGCATATAAGCTCATCCTCAGAGGCTCAATGTCCTTCTTATCAACCTATGATATCATCAGTTGTTAGGACAAACAACAGCTAACCTGAATAGTACCCATGGTTGTAATGCTGCAAAATAAAATCCTGTAGCTTGTGTAACAAAAAAGACAGGCTTGATCCACCCCTCAGCTTGTCAACAATTTTTGGGAAATTTAGGGCAATTTTAGGCATTTTGCCAAGGCACCACTGAAGAATCCAGAAGACTCCCCAGGATACCATGGCACCTTGGCTCAAAAAGGCTGTGCTAGATGTAATTTCTCTATATACAGTATATCCATTCAACATCAGTTTAGTTACAGGCAGAACAGTATTTTTTTCTAAATATGAGACAGTGACTTTGAAACAGGCTAAGTTAATTTTTTTTAATGAAATTGAGTTTATATTGTCCCATAATTATTTTGAGATGAATCCTATATGCTGATAAGGATTGATTATATATGTAGATAAGAGGGACAGAGAATGGGAGCCAGGTTTTCACAAGGATACATCAATCTACCTGGTTGGTAGCTTCCTGAAGACGCTATTTGCAAAAATAATTGAGGCTCTATGGGTGTCCGGTTCTAGTGTGATGTCACGTCTGGCCTGAACGTCCGGTGGTTGGAATGCAAGCCATTAACCAAGCGGTACATGTTAGTTGCAAGGTGGTTTACATTGGTGCCGAGGCTGGACACAAGAACAAGTGAATGCATTAATACATCTATGTTTGTATACCTGATATAATAAATACTACATTATATTACTTCTTTGGTTTGATGTTGTGGTGCATTTGAGACAAGATTGAAAATATGGGAGATGGTCTGAAGATCTGTTGATATATAATGTGATCGGTCTGGAGAACTTATCCCAATGTTTTAGTTGACCTTCATTAATTTAGAGGTCACTGGATTGATGGTGAGTGCACACTTTTCACAGGGGTTGGTGATTTGTGGTAGCACAATTGGAGGATTACCTATTCATACACAGAAGATTCACATGTATGGTGGCAGAATCATAATGTATAGGTTTGGACTGCATATGGACTTCTAATTTAACATCATAGTTATTATAAAGTATAACTATTGGTGTGGAGTTTCTAATTGTGGGACCTGTACTTTTATGTAGAATAAAGGAAATTATTTCACGGTGTCGCAGTTCATTTATTGTGGTATACAATGTGTTATATATGGACTGATTTGTTGGCAGCACCACAAGACTATCTCAGGTAAGATTTAGAGTACATAAAAGAAATATAAATACAATATTGGATAACCATTCAGTGCTGAGACACTTTTTGTGTCATAATACTAGCCAAGAAGGGATTAAAGTATTTGGGACTGAAGCTATTTTCCCAAAAAAGATGATGGTATCAAGTGAGAGAAACAAAGAGAAACTAATTAGATTTATGTTTTGAGCAGTCTGACACCCTATGTACTTAATGAAGGACTAGATTTAATCATGGTTTTATAACTATAGACACTGTGTAGTTCAGGTCTTGAAATTTCCACTGGAAATTATGGTGGGGGCGAGTGTGTCCCCCAGGGCCGTCTTGCTGAGCAGGCTTGGAGCTCAGTCCGGATCTGTCATTGGCACTGGGAGCTGTCAGACTGCTCAATAGCTGAGCGCAGTGAAAGCAAAGGAAGAAGTGTGTGCTGTGCTCTCTGCCTCCCCTAGAGTGCAGTACCTGGCTCTGTGAGTGAACAACGAAGTACTGCAACTTTTTATAGGGGTGTGTGTGTGTGTGTGTGTGTCTATCTAATTTCAGCTCCCTCTGGTCACATGATCCTCTATGTCAGCCAGTGGTGGCTTCAGGGGAGAGGAGAGAGCACTTAACAGCGTGCTTGCGTACGTGTGTGTGTACATGTGTGTGTGTTTGTGTGTGTCCGTGTATGCATGTACATGTGTCTGTGTGTATGTACATGTGTGTATCTGTACATGTGTCTGCATGTATGTACATGTATGTGTGTGTGTACATGTGTGTCTGTCTGTGTGTGCATGTACATGTGTGTGTATGTACATACATGTGTATGTGTGTACATTTGTCTGTGTATGTATGTAAATGTGTCTGTGTATGTATGCACATGTGTCTGTGTGTATGTACATGTGTCTGTACGTGTGTATTTCTGTGTATGTACATGTATCTGTGTGTATGTGTGTCTGTACGTGCCTGTGTGTGTGTATACATGTGTCTGTATGTGTGTGTACATGTGTCTCTGTGCGTGTGTGTACATGTTTGTGTGTGTGTGTGTGTGTGTGTGTGTGTGTGTGTGTATGTGTGGGTGTGTGTGGTTATGTACATGTCTGTGTGTACAGGTGTCTCTGTTTGTGTGTGTTTGTTGGTGGCGAGTAACTCTTAAGGCCTGGCTAGTAGCTCAGGTCTTTAAATTTTAAATACTGATGTAGTTTATTTGAATTATACTATTACATTACAATTATTATATGTTCAGTATTTCTCCTTATTTACTTTTAACTTTTAACATAATTTATTTGATTTTTATTTACATACATCATCTGAGTTTTATATGTTATCTCTCTTGCACGACAACAACCTAAAATGCTAAGCCACCGAGCTCTCTTCAACAGCACCACTGCTCTTCTTACCAGATCCTCTGACTGTATCAATCAGCTCTCCTGGCTATCTGAACTCTCTCGACTTTCAGTCTTTAGTCACAGCTCCCTACTGTATGGGCCCACTTCTGGCTTCTAGATAGGGGTTCACCTGATACTCTGGGCTCTCTCTCTCTCCTCTCTCAGAGTTACAGAATAATTTCCTATGGACATGGAATCTCTCCAAAATGGAGTACTGTCTCCTGAGTAGATCCTATGGACATGGAATCTCTCCAACATGGAGTATTGTCTCCTGAGTAGATCACCTCTGTCTAACAGGAACACACATCTGTCTTCAAACAGGAGCAATCCTTCCTCCTGGCTGGAGCCCTGTGCTATGCCTAAGCTATGCCTAAGCTTCCATTATAAGGGCTGTGTGCCCCTGGACATACACCCTTCTGTTTTTAAATAAGATGTGGAAACTGGTTGGAGATTTCATCCCTCCCAAAGCACTGGGAAGGAAGCAAAGAGCAGAAGGTCATTGTTATTTAATAATGTATTGCTATGTATTAATATATGTGGTATACTGTATGTGTATATTGCAGGTAGACAAGTACTGGTCAGTGGGCAATGCCCAAAGTAAGGAGTGAGTTGGATCTGATTGGTGGATATGGCAGCCCTGAGTTTACCAGTGATTCATCCTGACAGGCTTTGATAAACAGGGCATTGCCCTGGAAACATATTTGCCCTTACATATATCACTGGGTCTGTAAAGCATTAGTCAGTGTATCAGGGCTAAACTATTTTTGTGCGGGTATGTTGTACTTGAAGTGGTTTGGCTATTTGATGAAGGTTTTAATTCATCCATGTTTGGGAGTATATCTATTATAATTATATTACACCTGGCTTATGAAGAATTACTTTATGAAGACAATTTACTCTGTGCCTCCTATTGTATTGACTGTACTGTACCTTCATACCCTAAATTGTATGCTGTACCATTACATATGCTTGACCACTCTACTGTACACTACACCATTACAGTGACTATGCCACTGTACACCTTACTGTAAGTTACCTTGCAGACCAACCCTCTACCTTTGAAAGGGGACTCATCTAGTGAAAGTAGGTGAGTGATCTGCCACCCAAAATAATACTGTTGAACTAAATGACAAACTCGTGAGGGTGAGGTCCCTACTATGGAGACACTTACCATTAGTGTGTTGCTTTGCTGTATCACTTGCTACTCTCTTCCTGCTGCCTCTTTGCTGTTCAGCATTGGTAATCTGTTCTCCCTTCTTTATTTTATCTGGAAAAGCTTTACATCAAGCAGTGAACTCTGCCTACATGGTAAAGTAGATGGAGTTTGAGAGACAAGGTCTCAATGCGCTGATCTCAGCAGGACTGTATTGGTCACAGACATGGTATTTGAGGTCTGTCAGGACTATGGTGGCCTGGTTGTGAAGGCATTGCATCTACACTGCAAGTCCGGAGGGCTGACCCTATTCCCACCCCTCCTGGTCTCCTGACTGGGCCCCTCCCTACCCCAGGCCCCATATCAACCACATGGTCTGCTACGGCAGTAGTTCTACCAGTGTTTAGAAATGTGTTAGGAAAATTCCACAGTTTTAAGAAATTGATGCAACAAAAATTGCCAGATCAAATCTATAAAGGAGTTGGTACTATGATATTGTGAAGTGTTAAAACATTTATTTATTTTACTTGTTTGCTATTATGTATCAAACGTGAAATACCTCATTGTGGAAAAAAGATTTACCCTTAAATCTAGTTTGTGTGGGTTCCCTTCCAAGTTTGCATTGTTTTCATGATGTGGCATATCCACTAGACATAAATTACAGCTTTGTTGTTTGGTATTTGCGATGTTTCAAGACTGATTAATTGCTCAATAATTATGAACAACTTTTTCTGTGGTCTGCTTACCATACTGATTTACTGAGGACCCATAATGCAGGAGTGCTATGTTCCAACTTGAGTTCACTGCAGTAGCAAACATTCAACATGGTGCTGTCCACAATGATATATAAGAGAGAGCCCTTGTGTTAATCTTCAAAACGGGCCTTTTAAAACTAGGAAAAAACTAAATATTATACATTTTATATGCAGTACTTGTAAAATATATGTCAATTTTGGGAGAAGCATTGGGAAATAGTTATGAGTGTTTTGCAATATTGGGTTTCCTTAAAATCAGTATAATTAGGATTACCGGTAATTATGCTTTAACAATGGCGTTTTAATTAGGACTAGCTGATGACAAAGTCTCTCCCTATCCTTGAAAAGACCAGTCTCTTGATCTGCAGAGAGAGATTGTGGTTTAAAAAGTACAAAGCTATTGCTTTGTACACACTTGAACATAAAGTCCATTTCCCTTTAGAAAAGAACTCTAAAAGAACTCTATGGAGTTCTAGTAACAGCTAGAGAGGCTAGAGCTTATTCTTATGGTTTGTGTTTGTTTTTTTTTGTTTTTTTCCAAAAAAGATTTATTGAGTATTGAAAGACAGGATCATAATCATAAACATGGGATACATCTGATCAACAAATATGGCTAGGTACATCTAGCATATAAAGTAGGGCTGTATCAAACATAAGACATAACAGGTAGCACAAATATATGTGTAAACTGGAGGGTGTGAACCCCATAGGAAAACATAGGAAACTAAGAGGAAGACATGAGTCCATAAAGACAGGGGTAGAGAGGGTCTGTATGAATAGGGTGTGGGGGTTAGCTCAGGTGGGGATCTCCTTCCCTGGGACAAAGGTAGACCGCACAGCAGGCTTTCGTCAAAATCTGACTGGATGTCAGTTTTTATTAAAAAGGTTTGCAAGAAAATATCAAAATAAACAAAACATCAAAATAAACCCTTGCCATCCAGGCACTAACTAAACAGCAGATGATTCCTCTCTCAGAGGTGAAGGGCTTCTCCCTGTCACCAAAACAAAATAACAGCAAACCTTTTCTTGCAGGTATAGTCCATACACACAGCTCTCTCAGAATACCTCTCTGAGTCCCAGGCCACGAGCAACTCCTTGCTCCAGCCCTGCCCTTTTTATACCACCTGTTGGTGGAGATCAGTGGAGTCCAAACTCTGGTCCGGAACCACCTGCTTAACTGTGGCCCCGAAAACCCAGAGTGGACTCCACCTAAACGGTCAGGTATGAGCATATGCGAGGTGACACATAGCGTCCCTCTATCACCTCGCCGTTCATCCTGTCACATATCCCCCCCCTCTGCTCAAGCCCCTGCGGCTGAGCAACTGTTCCAACCAGACAATGGACCCGGGAGAGGGCATCTACATTATTTTGCAGTTTCCCCGCTCTGTGTTCCACTGTGAATTTGAACACTTGTAGCGCGAGAAACCACCTTGTCACTCGACTGTTTTTCTCCTTATTATCACACATCCATTTGAGCGGGGCATGATCAGTAACCAACTTGAACGGTCTTCCTAACAGGTAATATTTCAGGGCCTCCAAGGCCCATTTGATGGCCAAACATTCCTTCTCCACAATGGCATAGTTTCTCTCATGTTTGTTGAGCTTTCTACTTAGGAAGACCACAGGGTGCTCCTCCCCATCTCTGATTTGGGACAGTACCGCACCTAGTCCCACGTCAGAGGCATCAGTCTGTACCACAAACTCTATTGTGAAATCTCTGGAGTCACAAGCACAGGTTGAGCACAGAGAGCTTGTTTCAGGCTTTTGAAATGCGGTCTTCGCCTCAGGATTCCACTTAATCATGACTGACCCCCTACCTTTTGTCAGATCTGTCAGTTGGGCTGCAATGGTGGCAAAATTGGGGATAAACCGCCTGTAGTACCCCGTGATTCCAAGAAATGCCCGGACTTGTTTTTTATTTACAGGTTGGGGCCACTTTTGAATTGCCTCAATTTTATTGATCTGAGGGCCTAATGAGACCTCGACCAATGATGTAGCCAAGATATTTGGCCTCCTCTAAGCCAATGGCACACTTTCTGGGGTTGGCGGTAAGACCTGCTTCCCGCAGCGAATCTACGACCGCTTGCAAGAGGGACAAATGAGATTCCCAGTCGGGACTGTGGATGACGACATCGTCCAAGTAGGCAGCTGCATATTGGCGATGTGGTCTCAACGTCTTGTCCATCATCCTTTGGAATGATGCAGGAGCCCCATGCAAACCAAACGGCATCCGCTTATACTGAAAGGACCCCTCGGGGGTGGAGAATGCTGTCTTTTCTTTTGCAGCTTCCGTTAACGGAATCTGCCAATAGCCTTTGGTCAGATCTAAGGTGGTTATGTACCGAGCCGTTCCCAACCTGTCAATGAGCTCATCCACCCGAGGCATCGGGTACGCATCAAACTTGGACACACTGTTCAGTTTCCTGAAATCATTACAGAAACGAATGGTTCCATCTGGTTTTGGGACCAGCACTATGGGACTCGACCACTCACTGTGAGATTCCTCAATCACTCCCAACTCTAACATGTCCTTTATTTCCTTTGCCACCGCTTCCCGCCTGGCCTCGGGTATTCTATAGGGCTTGACATTTACGCGGACCCCGGGCTGGGTAACTATGTCATGCTGTATGACAGTCGTCAGTCCAGGTAGGTGGGAGAAGAAATCTCCATTTTTC